GGGGGGGGGAGGGGGGGACAGGGAGGAAAATGTACAACAATGAACGATTACAAACTCAAGTGCTTTATAAACTTTCATTAAAATGTCAATAAACAAACAAACAAACCCCAAAATAACACATCATTATCGTTAAGAAAGAATGAAGAGTTACAGGACAGAATTCTAGGCTGCATCTAGTCCCCACATTATTGTGTGTCTCTTGACATGCCACCCACCCATTTTGAGTCATTGTTGACTAAAGGATAAGATGGGTAACAAAAGACCAAGGTCCCTTCCAGCTTTAAAATATTTTCATACTGAGACTCTGTAAAACTGAAGGGCTGAGTGGTGTACTCTCATAATGGCCGCTTGCATGATTTCTCAAACTGAAGAGTGGGGAAAATGAATGCAAGTCTCACATTGCAAAACTGGAGAATGCTGTGGGCAAAATCTTGAATGATTCAGGAAGCCTCAAAAGAAGACGGAGGGAATACACAGAATCACTATTGGCTGACACAGAACCATTTCAGGAAATAGCCTATGTTCAGAAACAAATGGTGATGAATGAAGAAGTTCAAGCTACATGGAAGGATTTGGAAGAAAAATAAGGCCCCAAGAATTGGTGGGATACCAATTGAAGTGTTTTGATAAACAAATGCAGTCCTGTATGTGCTTATCAGTCTATGCAAAGAAATTTAGAAGCTATCTACATTGGCAGATAGCCAACTGACTGGAAGAGATCCCTATTTATTCCCATTCCCCAAAACTGTGATCTAACAGAATGTAGAAATTATTGAACAATAGCACTAATATAAAATGAAAATAAAATCTTACTGGAGATTATCCAAAAACAGCTGGAATAATACATATATAGAGAACTGTCAGAAATCCAAGCTGGCTTTTAAAGAGGCCATGGCACCAGGGATATCATTGCTCATGTCAGATGTATCTTGTGTGAAATCAGAGAATACCAGAAGGATGTCTATTTGTATTTTATTGACTATGCAAAGGCATTTAACTGTGTGCATTGTAACAAATTATGGATAACATTGAGAAGAATGGGAATCCCAGAACACTAAATTGTACTCATGTGAAACTTAAGACCAAGAAACTGTCATCCAAACAAAGTAAGAGATCACTGAATGGTTTAAAAGTTTTTTTTAAAAGTGTGTGGCAGGGCTGTATCTTTTCTCTATACCTATTTAGTTTGTATGTCCAGCAAATAATTTGAGAGGCTGGACTTAATGAAGAAAAGTGTGGCCTCTGGATTGGAAGAAGACTCATCAACAAGCTGCTTTATTCAGATTATGCCACCTTGCTTACTAAAAGAGAAGAGGACTTGAAGTGCTTGCTGGAAAAATCAAAGACTATATGCATGCGATATGGATTACACCCTGACATCAAGAAGACCAAAATCATCAGCACTGGGCCAATAGGCAACATCATGATAGCTGGAGAGAAGACTGATGTTAACAATGTCATCTTGCTTGGATCCAAGATCAACATCCTTGGCACCAGCAGTCAAGGAATTAAAAGACATATTCAATTGGGTAAATCTTCTGTCAAGGACCTCTCTAAGGTACTAAGGAGCAATAATGTCAGTTTTAAGACTAAGGTGCATCTGACTCAAGCCGTGGTCTTTTAAAATGCTTATTATGCATCTGTTAGACAATGACTGACGATTACAGCAGAATCTCAGAACGTTTAATGCCTTTGAGTTGTGATGCTGGAGAAGAGTACTGAGTATCTAACGGACTGCCAAAAGAACAATCTTGTCTTGGAGAAAGTATAACCAAGGTGCTTTTCAGAGGCAAGGATGTGAAGCTTCGTCTCATATGTTTTGGGTCTGCTCTTAGGAGGGGCTGGTCCTTGGAGAGGGACATCATGCTTAGAAATGTGGAGAGTCAGCAGTGCAAAAGAGGAAGACCCTCAATGAGATGGATTGACGCAGTGACTGACAATAGGCTAAAGCATAGGAGGGATGATGAGGATGGCATAGAATAGGACAAAATATAGATCTGTCACTATGAGTCAGTCGATTCTGTGGCACCCAGCAATAACAACAGCATGAGCCCTGGTGAAAATCCTGCAGCCTTAAACACCGGACAGAAAAACCTCGGGAATGAGGAACAGTTAGAAAGATTTATTAGTAATAAAATCTTGTTATCCTGAGAACTGGAGATCTAGAAGTTTTGTTCTTTCCATGAGAGATCACAGAGAAAGGCACAGGATAACTGTGCCCTCACGTGGCAAGGAAAGGATCCCTGGTGGTACAGTGGTAAAGTCCTGGACTGCGAACTGAATCGTCGGTGGTGTCAGGGTTGGAATCTGCTGCCTCCTTTGCAAGAGAAAGATATAGGAGTCTACGTCCGTAAACATTATGGCTTTGGAAGCTTTATAGAGCAGTCATGTTCCGTGCAAGAGGTTTCTATGAGTCAGGACTGACCTGCTGGCATTGAGTTTGTTTTTGTTGTTGTTCAGTGATAATCCATAATTCCAGTTCTTAGAAGAGGATAGAGAGCAGGGGATCCATTGCTGGTGTCAGGTGTATTTTAATTGAAAGCAGAAAATACAAGAACGATGCTTTCCTGTGTTTTGTTAACTAAGCAAATGTATTCAGCTGTGTGGGTCATATTACAGATAACACTGAGTAGAATGAATGGAAATTCCAGAACACTTAATTGTGTTCATTTGGAACCTACACTAAAAAAGCAGTCGTTTGAACAGAACGAAGACATATTGCATGGTTTAAATCAGGAAAAGTGTGCATCAGGATTTTATCCTTGATTCAGTATGTATGCTGAGCAAATAATTAATGAGATGAGCACATCATCAGGATTAGAGGAAAACTTGTTAAAGATTTATAATATGTAGACAACATAACCTTTCTTGCTGAGAACAAAGACAATTTGGAACACATATTGAGGAAGAGCAAATACTAAACTCTTTAGTAGATGAAGTAGATTACACTTCAACATTAATTAAAAAAACCAACAGGGAAAAGATCCTCACAAGTAACAGGAAAAAGAACCAACAAGTAACATCACAATGGGGAAAATACTGAAATTGTTCAAGATTTCATTTTCTTGGTTCCACAATCGATGTCCATAGAAGCAGCAGTCAAGAAATTAAGTGGCATTATTTCATTGGGAAAATTGGCCACAAAAATATCTCTTCAGTGTCAAAGTACAAGGATGTCACCTTGAATACAAAGGTGTGCCTGAAATGTGTCATATAAAATGTGACATGTGAAATCTGGACAATGAATAAGAAAGGCCAAAGAAGAATTGATGTTTTTGAATTGTGGTATTGTTGAAGGACATTGACTATACCATGGACTGGTGGTGCAGTGTGTTATTTGTTAAATTACTGACTGATGGCTAATGGTTTGAATCCGCCAGTTTTCCTGGGAGGGAGAAAAATATTTAAGATCTACAAGATTGGGAATCTGATGAAAGGTCACTATGAGTCAGAATTGACTTGATAGTGGTGGGTTTAGTTTGGATTTTAGCAGAACAAACGCATTTGTCTTGGAAGAAATACAGCTGGACTGTTACCTAGAAGAAAGGAGGGTGAGATTTTGTCTCATGTACTTTGGATGGAGAACTGCTTGGTAAAGCAAAGGGTCAATGAAAAAAGAGAAAGACCATCAAAGAGATGGACTGACAGAGTGCCTGCAATGAGTTCAAATACAGTAATAGTAATGATCGCAAGGATGGTGCAGGACCTTATACATAGGGTTCCTATGGGTTAGAACAAACAGATGGCACCTAAAACAAGAGGCTATAAAGTAGTCCTCATGTGTAGTGGTTAAGTGTTTGTTGTTACTCAGAAGGTTGAGAGTTTACTCTGTTAGCCACTCTATGGTAGAAAGATGTGGCAGCCCATTTCTGTAGGAATGACAACCTGAGAAGTCCTTAGGGAAATTCTGCTCTGTCCAGTAGGATCTCTGTTAAAAGCAATTCCACCTCAGGTTCAGGTTTATATAGAAAACTGACTAGGAACTTCTTTTCTCTACTTGGCTTGGGTATATGAAAAGACAGACTATCCAGTCTTTTATTATGGGACACATAGGGAGCCAGGGTTGTGGAAGAGTCAGGGAAGAAGATTCTGAGCACATTAGGTGGTGGTATTATGTGCCGCCAATCAACCATGACTCTGAGCGACCTAATGCACAGTAGGTCTGAACCCTGCCCTGTCCTGAGCCGATCTTTCTGTCTCTGACACGCCTGCCCTCATTACCCCAGTTATTGTGTCAATCCATCTCATCTGGGTCATCTTCTCCTGCACTGTCCTTCCACCCTTCAAAGCTTAATATCCTTCTCCAGTGACTGGTCCCTCCTGGCTCAAAATCCTCGCTGCACTCCAGACCACAGAATTCTGGACCACTCTCTCCCCCTTCACCAGCCCTTAGCACAGTGATGGCTGCTCACACTGGATACGAAGGGGGTGGGTTTTAGAGGCGATGAATGTGAAGAAGGAGGAGCTGCCCTTGGCGCCTCCATTCCCTGCTGAATGAGAGACTTATTCCTGGATCCCTGTATGCAAACTCTGGGAACATTTCCCATAGACTGTTCACAATGATGATATAGATTTATTTATAGAATTATTCATTCAGCAGTATTAATTGGGTGCCTATGGGGGAGGGCAAGTACGTTTCAGGTGCTTAGAAATATAACATGGCAACTGGTTAATGGTTGGAGCTACCTTTAACCCAGCACTGACCATGGACCTGAAGTGGTACTGATGCCTTAGCATTTCTCACCACCGTGGCAACCCAGGGAGGAAGCTACGGCTACTGTTCTTACTTTCCTGATGGGTAACAGAGTCTGAAAGGGCACAAGGAACATGTCCAAGAAGTCTCACTTAGTAAGAGACGTTACCAGGTCTAGGATGAGCCAAACCTATGCTGTTAGCCACTCTGCTGGTTTCTGTAACTGGTTTTTACATTTGAGCTGCAACAGAAATCACCTGAAAATACTTTTTCAAAGTCAGATTGGTGGGCTCCACCCCCAGGAGTTCTGATTTAGTAAGTTTGAGGGGAACCCAAGAATCTACTAGTTTGCTCCCCTTGCAACTCTGGTGGCCTACTGGTAAGAATCATGCACTGTAATCCCAAAGGCACATGGTTCGAATCTACCAGGAGCTCTCTGGGAGAAGGATGAACAATCTCCTCCCAGGCAGTTTACTGCCTCTGAAAACTTACTGGAGGGTCAACTATGGGTGGGTTCCAACTCTATGGCATATAACTTATTCCCCCGTGAGGCTAGTGCTGCAGGTCTGGGCACCACACCTGAGTGCAAATCAACTGTTCTAATCTACCTCACCTGTCTACATGTGGAGAAACACTTATTTCAGGGATTCTGGGCACTATCTCTTCCCCCATTACCCTACCCCTGCAGTCATTGTCTCTTTTCCACACAGCTCGGTGACCATAGCTGACATCTGTTGGAGAGCTCACACGATCTGATTGAATTGGGTAGTGCTCACCGGGGAGCCAGTCCAGCCCAGCAGGGCAAAGGCTCGGCATTCGTAGGGGCACACAACGAGGTCCACGCGGATGGCCTTCCAGGTCTTTCCTTGCAGCTGGCTGGACGTGCCATCATCTACACACTCACGGTGCAATTTTAAAATCAGAAAGCACTTTTGAAAATGATCTAAAGCATCCACCTTCCTGCTAGGCATCTTGAGCTTTTCAAAGGTGGACTCGTAAAGGTCACAGTATAAAAGCAGTCCCTGAAAGGAAACAAGAAGACAGTAGCATGAGTCTCCGCTGATGAGACCAGGACTCCGTACTGAGCTCCTAATGAAAGTGCTTTGTGAAACCGTTACACATTTGGGCAGAACTGGCTGGTTTGTTTTGTTTTGTTTTGTTTTTGTCTTTGCATTGGGCCTACCTAGCAATACCAGAGAAGACACTACGGAAGTGGTTGTATTGGCTTTTCAGTTGTTGTTGTTAGGGTCATCGAGTATGACTCATAGCAAGCCTATAAACAGCAGATCTGAACCTCATCCTATTTGTGCCATCTTCACACTTCTTGACACACTAGAGCCCATTGCAGCAGTCACCGTGTCAATCCTCTTGGTTGAGGGTCTTCCTCTCCTTCACTGATCTTCCACCCTTCCAAGCATGATGTCCCTTTCCAAGCAATAGCCTCTCCTAGCAACATGGACAAAGTGTGTGAGGTGACGCCTCAACATTCTTGCCTCCAAGGAGCACTCTGGCTGCACCCGCTCCAAGACATTCCTGTTTGTTCTTTTAGTCCTCCTTGGGATGTCCAGAGCTTTTCTCCAACACCAAGGCTCAAAGGCATCAATTCTTCTTCTGTCATCTTTATTCATTGTCCAGCTCTAAGATCCATAGCAAGTGATCACAAAGACCATGGCTTGAATTAGATACACCTTAGTACTCAAATTGACATCATTACTCCTCAGTAATTTGGAGAGGTCCCTAACTACAAACTCTCCCAGTGCAATGCATCTCCTTTTGTCCTGACTGCTGGTACCAATGGTGTTAATTATGGATCCAACTAAGATGACGTTGTTGACCGTTTCAGTCTCTTCTCCATCCATCATGTTGCTATTTGGACCAGTGGTACAAATTTTTGTGTTCTTGACATTGAGATGCAATCCATACTGAAGGCTGCATTCCTTGATCTTCTGCAACAAGTGCTTCAAGTCCTTTAAGCAAGCAAGGTTGTATCATCTGCATAATGCAGGTTATTGATGAATCTCCTTCCAATCCTGATGTCACATTCCTTTTCATATAGTCCAGCTTCTTGAACAATTTGCTCAACGAACAGATTGAATAGGTATGGAGAGAGAATACAACCTGATGTGCTTTGTTCTTAATTTTAAGCCATGTAGTGTTTCTCTGCTCTGTTAGCACAACAGTCTCCTGGTCTAGTTCGAGGTTTCACTTGAGCACGATTAAGTGTTCTGGGACTCCCATTGTTCTCAGTGTCAGCCACAACTTGTTATGATCCACACAATCAAATGCCTTTGCAAAGTCAATAAAGCACAAATAGACATTCTTCTGATATTCTCTACTTTAGCTGGGTTCCATCACACATCAGAAATTATATCCCTGGTGCCATAGCTTCTTCTAAATCCTACTTGAACTTCTGGAAGTTTCTTGTCTATGTACCACTCCAGTCATTTTTGAATGATCTTCAATAGTATTTTGCTTGCATGTGATATTAATGATATTGTTTGATAGTTTCCACATTTTGTTGGATCACCTTTCTTGGGAATGGGAACAAATATGGACCTCTTCTGATCCACTGGCCACACAGCTGTCCTCCAAATTTCCTGGCATAGACTAGTATTCACATTGTTATAGTCTAGCTTGTTGGGGACTTTCTATAATAATTAGCCATTTCTAATTCTTTTAATAATTACACAATTAGAAAGTAAATAATGTACAAACTTTAACAATATTTGTACAATGTTTGAATATCTAAACATTTCTATCTTTCTTTTTACCTCCTTTTCCCAAAAGGTTATCACTTTATGCAAAAGTTGTTGTTCTTGTTCTTCTGTTGCTTCTGGACTGGTAATTAAGAAATCTACATCATGTCCCACCTTCTTACCCCTGATTGAAAAATAGTAGAAAATGGGAAGAAATTAGATTTTTGGTTCTCAATTTTTTTAAAAAAATATCTTTGTTTCTATGTCCTATGATTAAAGTTTGCAATACATTTGTGTTTTTTAAAAAATTCTATTTCTAGTGTAAACTAGGTGTCCCTTAAAAAATAAACTCATAGGGAAAAAAGAATATAAAGTACATATAGAATTATGCATGGAAAGGTAAAAGTGGTAAAGATTATTTCTTCTATACGTATACACAGAGAGGGAAAGGGAGAAACAGACACACACAGAGAAAGAGAGAGAGAGAAAGGAAGAAATATAAGAGAATGACAATAGAGAAACAAACTGACATTCACAACTAGCATGTTGAAATGGTGAGATAAATTCCATCTTCTTCTTCTTCCTGCCTTTTCCTAAACTTGGCTTGCTAGATAGCTAAGAGCCACTTGGTCAGAGGATCAGAGAGAAAGCAGGAGAAAGGGTTGGGAGAGAAAGAGTTCCTTTATGAATTAGTAGTTTCAGTATTCAGCAACTATATATTATTTCTACTAAGAGCCCATTTACTCATTCATTGACTCGACCAACATTTCTTGAGCATCTTCTCTGTGCCAGACACTGAAGACTAAGCCAACTCACACTAAATTCCAGAATCTTAGTGTGTAAAACATGCACACAAGTTGCCATCATGCTGTGTAAAAAGTGTCAAGGGCCCAGCAAGCATGGAGGTGTTGATTCACCCTAGAAGAAATCAGGAAAGACTTCCCAGGGAAGGCAATGTCTGATTTGAGTCATTAATGAGAGGTTAGCTAGGTGACAATTGGAGGAAAATTAGTGTAACCAGAAGAGCTTAAACTAAGCAAAGTCACAGAGTTAAGAAATAGTCCCATGTGTGTAGGGGGTTGCTGAACCCCAAGTTCTTTGGGGTTGCTTAAATGAAACATGGTCAGCAGGAGATGAAACAGCAGAGAGAAGTCAGTACCAGATCACAAAAGACATTTCATAGAGTATTCAAAAGTAGAGGCACATCTGTTGGTCCCTCCTCTCCCACCACTACGATCCTGGGAAGGAGAGGACAGGAAGGCCATTAATTATGCTTGAACACCAAGTTTACAAGTTTTAAAAATCAAGCTTCCTATGCTACACCTCAGTGGGGATAATTGCAGAAATATGTTTGTAACACCAGGAGAAGATGTTCATACTACTATAAAATTGTGTCCACAAACATCAAGCTACTGACAGGAGTAGAGTAGAGGATACAAAAGTAGTGTTCATTATTTACCTCCGGAACCCTCCTGTCATGGTGACTATGGCATCCGGCAGAAATGCCCACACGGCCTCTTTAACCAGTACTCCGACTGCCTCTGCTTCAGCCCTGGTCACACAGCTGACAAGGTCTTCATAATAGAGGAATCCTGAGAGACCACTGGACAGATTAGTGAAGTGGAAATAATCAGCCCTCGGGATCCTGCCCTCCTCAACTAGATCCAGCATGTCCACAGGCACTAACACCAAACTTTGTTTCCTTAGAGACAGAATAATTCATGCTGTCAATTTGGTTCATGAATTTTTCCACATTAACACAGCTCTATGCATTTTGAGAGAAGGGCTTAAACAATATTCTTAAGAGGGAAACAATATTTCACATTCCTCTGAAAGGCAAGCTGCTCAAATTGGATTTCCTATGAGTAGAACCAGGTATATTGATCAATGTGTTGTGGTTTCCTCTTATTTTAAAAAAAGGTAGTACATAAACATTTGGGATGGGAACACTTAAGGTTAGAAGGTTTTAGTCAACTTAAAATTTAATGGCAAGAACAGGGAAAAGGTTTGTGTCTGAGTTGAGACAAACAGTGCTTCAGTGGTTTGCCTTGATGCTTCATTGCTTGACCACCACAGATATGTGAAAACGGGCAGAGTCACTGGAGTAAAGAGCTAATGACATGACTGCTTCACAGATCAATGGAAGGTGGTGTGGAGGTGAAAAGAAAGATGGGAGATCATACAGTCAATAACAGAAGTGAAACATTGGAATGAAGGTAAGTGGGGATATGGGAAGAGTCATAGGGTCTTAGAGACAGGGATTTCCGAGGACTTGTCTTTTGATGAGTGACTGTTTGAATCGTCCTGATAAATGGGGACTCTGGGATAGTCCGTGGGGAGTTGTGCTATTGATCTAAGATCACCCCAGTCTGGGGGGTCAAATCTACCAGCAGCATCAAGGGAGAAATATGAACATTGTCCTCTCATCCGAATGGAGGGTCAGCTATGAAATGATTCTGATTCAATGGCACTGATAGAGTTTCAAGTCTCTGGAGGCAGCCCATTTCCTAATTGTAAACTCTGAGTAGTTCTTTGTTTTGATGAGCTTGAATCTATTTACTACGTTGGAGTTCCACCCTTCACTGGTCCTGGGTTGACACAGAGCATATCTATTAGCCCTTCCAGTCCCACCACCAGAATCCTGGGAGGAAGAAGACAGGGGAGACCACTTGGCTTGAACAACACGTTCACAGGTTTTCAAATTCAAGCTTCTCATGGTAATTGCAAAAATGTGTTGGTAAGACCAAGAGGAGATAGTCAGATAAACTTCTGTCTAGTATCAACCACAAGACTTGAACATTTTTTCTTATAAATACTAATATCCTCTTTTTCCTTTTTATAAAGTCACAGTTTTTAGTGCAATATTGTAATTCTTTTTAAATCTTGAGTTTTGATTTAAAAATGTCTTTTTAGACATAAGTTGCCTTCATGATTTAGATTCAAAGCACAACTCATTTGGCAGCCATCAAACTTGTTCAGTGATGTATGTACAGTCAGAAAGGTATGGTGTTCAACTCCTTTAAAAAGATAAGCACATGTCATAAGTGAAATGAATAGAGAAGTTCTTTGACAATTTGTTGACTGGGAAAACAACTTAATTGCCATTGCTTATTGGTATAAGTATCAGGATATTTCATTCTTTACAAAAAACTTTTCACCCTGCCTAAAGTAATATGTGTGCTTCCAGATATAAACATTTACTTTTTATTGCAGGATTATGTGTGTAATAGTGTTTACCTCTGTTGGCCATCTTGCTGTGCACCGCTCCATGTACTTACTCCCTGTCTAGTGATATTCTGCTGATCATTCTTGTACTATATATTGCCTTTCCCTTCACCCATCTTAATGTGCCTCTTACCTAGTTACCATTTTTTTACTCCCATCTCCCTCTCTTCTCATCCTTGGTAAAAACTGGCTTCAAAACCAGTATTACATGATAGCTCAATCCTCATGAAATTGCAAACCAGTGTAATTATGTTGTTGTTGTTATGTGCCGTCGAGTCGCTTGTGACTCATAGCGACCCTATGTACAACAGCCCTAAACTCCACTCTGTCCTGTGCCAATCGCACTCCCTGACACTCCCATCCCAATTATCCCAGTCACTGAATCAATCCACCTCATAGAGGGCCTTCCTCTCCTGCGCTGTCCCTCCACCCTCCCAAGCATGATGTCCTTCTCCAAGGACCGGTCTCTCCTCACAACATGTCCAAAGTATGTTAGACAGAGCCTCAGAATCCTTGCCTCCAAGGAGCCACCCTGTTTAACCCTTTCCAGGACAAATCTGTTTGTTTTCCTAGCAGTCCATGGTATTCTCAATACTCTTCTCCAGCACCACAGCTCAAAGGCATCAATTTTCCTTCTATCCTCCTTGGTCATTGTCCAACTCTCTGATGCATAACAAGTGATTGCGAAGACCATAGCTTGTATCAGACACACCTTAGTCTCCAGAGAGACACCATTGCTCTTCAGTACTTAGGAGAGGTCCCTAACAGTAGACTTTCCCATGGCAATGCGCCTTTTAATTTCCTGGCTGCTGGTGCCAAGAGTGTTGACTGTGGAGCCAAGCAAACTAAAGCTGTGTACAATCTCAATCTCTTCACCATCCATCCTGATGCTGCCATTTGGTCCAGTGGTGAGAATCTTTGTCTTCTTGACATTGAGCCTCAATCCATATTGTAGGCTGCAGTCCTTGACACTCTGCAGCAGGCGCTTCAGGTCCTCCTCAGTTTCAGCAAGCAGGGTTGTGTCATCTGCATAACGCAGGTTGTTGATAAATCGTCCACCAATCTTGACCCCACATTTCTTCTCATAGAGCCCAGCCTCCCAGATAATCTGTTCTGCATATAGGTTGAAAAGGTATGGAGATAGGATGCATCCCTGGCGTACGCCCTTCCCAATTTTGAACCATGCAGTGTTCCCTTGCTCTGTTCTGACAACTGCCTCCTGGTCCAAGTTGTGCATTAGAATGATCAAGTGTTCTGGGATTCCCATTCTTCTCAGAGTCAGCCATAGTTTGTTATGATCTACACAGTCAAATGCCTTTGCATAGTCAATGAAACACAGATAAACATTCCTCTGGTATTCCCTGCTTTCAGGCAAGATCCATCTAACATCAGCTACAATATCTCTAGTACCACGACCCATTCTAAACCCAGCCTGGACTTTTGGTAGTTCTCTGTTGATGTGCTGTTCCAGTCATTTTTTTATAATCTTCAGTAAAATCTTGCTTGCATGTGAAATCAGTGAAATTGTTCTGCAGTTTCCACATTCTGTTGGGTCACCTTTAAGTAATAATAAATAAAATTTCCCATTGAACTGTGGATCATGCTTCCAGTGTGTTTAATTAGTTTACCTTTTGCTGTATTCTATTCTCATAACCTTTTCAAGCATAATACCCCTCTCTAAGGAGTAGCCACTCCTAGCAAAATGCCTGAAGATGTGAGATAGAGCTTTGTCATCTTTGCCTCTCAGGAGCACTCTGGCTATACTTTTTAAAGACATATCAGTTCTTTTTGCAGTCCATGGGAAATTCAGTACTCTTCTCCAAAACTACAGTTCAAAGGCATCAGTTCTTCTTCTGTCATCCTTATTCATTGTCCAGCTCTCAGATGCATAGCAAGTGATTGAAAAGACCATGGCTTGAATCATGCACACCTTAGTCTCATTACTGACATCATTGCTCCTGAGTAATTTGGAAAGATCCCTGATGGCAGACTTACTGAGTGTGATGTCTTCTGACTGCTGGTACCAAGGATGTTAATTGTAGATCCAAGTAAGGTGACATCATTGACTATTTCAATATTTTCTCCATCTATCATGATGTTTCCTATTGGTCCAGTGGTGAGAATTTTCATTTTCTTGATGTTGAGATGTAATCCATATTGAAGGCTGTAGTCTTTGATTTTCTGCAGCAAGCACTTCAAGTCTTTCTCACTTTAACACGTTGCTGCAAATGATGGCTATAAGCATGGTCATAAATTTAAAGGTGTGCAGCAATGTGTTAAGCAAGCAAGGTTGTGTCATCTGTATAAGGCAGGTTGTTGATGAGTCTTCCCTCTAATCCTGATGCCACATTCTTCTTCATAAAGTCCAGCTTCTCGAACTAATTTTTCAGCATAGATATATAGATTGGGAAATCTGGTGGTCTAGTGGTAAGGAGCTGGGCTGCCAACCCAAAGGCATACAGTTCAAATCCACAAGCTGCTCCACAGGAAAAAGATGGGCAGTCAACTCCTGTGTGATTTACTGCTTCTAAAACCCACTGGAGGTCAGATATGGACCGATTCCCACTCAATGTACACAGCAGCACTAACTACCACCCGCAGAACCCATAATTCTGACATCATGAAACAGGATTAGAACTGATAATATTAAAATGAAGCCTCTAACAGCCTCTTAACTTTGTAACCAATCTAAGGTAAATGTCAATTAATCAAATTTTATTTGTACTCTGTCTTCTAACTTTCTGCTAGCTTTCTGTAAACTTGTAACTGTGGTGGTTGTTGATTGCTGTCAAGTTGAGCATGACTCATAGCGACCCTGTGAACGAAAGGCCTGAAGCCTTTCTATAACTATTATCATTTACCAAAGTTCATAGAGTTTCCAGAGGCATGTTGTTGTAGATTGGATGCCACTCCAACTAGATAAAGTTTTAATCTTTTAGTTTAAGATAGAAAGAGAAGCAGACAGACTTAGCTTTTTCCTGATAGAATTTCTTGTTAAACAAATCTCATGATGTAAAAAACTTAACTGCTGTTAAATACTTAAGATTATAGTTTAACAAACCTGTATAATTTTTTACCATGTTTCTTCTCTCTATGGCTACCTTTGTTTGCTTCATCAGATAAAAAATGGCTCTCATATTCTCCCTCTCTGTCTTCCTCTTTCTTACTCCCTCTCCCTCTCCCTTTCTTTCCTTCCCTCTCCCCATCTTTCTCTCTCCCCTCCTGTCTCCCTCTCTCTTTCCCTGTCCTTCCCTCTCTGTCCCTCTCTCTCACTGTCCAGTCCACACTATTCATGGAAGCTTTTTCAAGAAAACATTTACCTGCTTTCTGCATGTGTGTAAGTTTCAGGGTTTTGTCGTTCATTATTCCACTCAGAGTTCTGAAACCCAGCCTAAACCACTTTTCAGCTGTCTTTAATCCCACTCCAAACACAGAAGTGAAGAGCTGAAATAGAGGAAAAGACATGTCATTATTATTTATAAAATAATAATTATGACAGCAAAGTTGTATTTCCAAGGTGTGAAGCAATTCAGAAAGTGTGTAATCAAATCTCTAACCTTACTTCTCCTGAATGTAACAAGTAGGTGACTGATAGTAATTTCCTTGAGACATTTTCATTTTTGGATTCTTTCCTGATATGTTGTTATTGTAATATGCCATCAAGTTGAAAATGATTCACAGCTGATCCTGAATCAGATTTTCAGTGGTTATAAACTTCATGGGAAAAGATTGTCCAGTTTTCTCCCTTGGAGCAACAGGTGGATTTGAACCATGTATGTGTGTATTAGCAAGGCAACTCCTCCCGACCCACTTAACCTCCCGAGCTCCCTTCCTGACACACAGTGTTACTAAATGAGACAGAGGTGAGGAAGCAGGCTCTGGCATCTGTAGTTGTTAGATGCTGTTAAGTCCGCTTCACTCACAGTAACCTTATCTTCAACAGATCAGAACCGTGACTGTTCCTGTCCCATTTTCACAATCTCTGCTGTGCTTAAGCCCATCACTGCAGTCACTGTTCACATGTCTTGTTGAGGCTCTTCCTGTCCTTTGTAGACATACTCAAGGATCAGTTTCTTCTGATAACATACCCGAAACATATGATACAAAATCTCACTATCCTTACAGCCAAGGAACCTCTGTGTAGGGCTTGGCACTGCACAATCTGATAACAGGATTGCCTAGAATGCCAATAAGTGATGACAGGTGTTCTTATTGAAAGCATCTGTAAGAGAGACTCTTATAGCCAATCATCTGCTATATATATTTACTCTTGCCTTTTGATGAGGAAGGCTCATGCTGGTGACATAAATTCTTCCATCATCACAGAACTGTCAAGTGATAAAACCTGGATTCAAATCCTGGCCTGTCTGTGTTCCAAAACTGTACACAAAACTGTGACCACATTTGAGACCTATGTGTAACACTTCTGATTAAAGTAAGGCTTGGGGTTGAAGGATAAGGTTCCAGATGCTAAAAGCTATCTAGGTTGAAAGAATGAGCTCCCAAAATGTGCGTCAACTTAGCTTGACCATGACTTCTTTTATGATCTGATGTTAGCCTATGTGTTGTCAATCCTAACCTCTAGGATGTAAATTGCTTGAAGTAGAGGGTTAGCCAAGGAGAGGAAGACCTTCACTAAAATGGATTGACACCATGACTTCAACAGTGACCTTATACATGGTCCAAGATAGGGCAAGGCTGTGAGAATGATGTAGGACAGAGAGGGCAAGGTTTCAATCCATTGTTCATAGGGTTGCTGTGAGTCAGGGTCAACATGACGACACCTTAACAACAACATGACTATCATGATGAAAGATTAGGAGCAGTGATGTTAATAATGCAGAAATACAATCTGCAGGATTAGGTTATATTTTCAGTGAATCTATTTTTAGATAAAAATGAGTTTAAACAAGCAGAGTTCAGTGAAACCTCATTACCACCAAGAAAGGAGAGCCAGAAGGGGAGTGCATTTTCTGGACCAGGGTGCCTGTACTGAGAAACTTCTAGATCTAGAAGCAGATCAAGACCCACGGAGATCTTTAAGAAACGCTAGGCTTATAATTGTTGAAAGGAGACGAGGAGTTTCCGCAGAGCTCGCAAGAGGCAGGAAGCCTACCTATAGAGCTCATGCCTCCTAAACTGTGAAAGAATTGGGTTCTGCTCGTTAAAAGTCACTTACCTGAGGTATTTCTGTTACAGCACACTCAATAACTAATACAGAAGAGTTTTATGAAAGCCTCTGCCAGCTACAGGTCTAATGTAGGGAAAACTGGAAAGTCATATTGCTTAGAGTAGAAGAGGATGCAGTGAGGAGAATTCCAGACACAAATCTGCTTTTTAGAGCCGACTTGGCCAGTAGCCATAGATCCTCTGGTGTTTAAGGTTTATCATTCAGATGTCTTCTCTAGCCAATGATTAACGATTTATTTTGTGCTGAAATGATTACTGTATTAAGGAGAGAGGATTAGGATGGGATACAAGCCTCACCATACTAGAGTACATCATAGGACCTCAGCGCCAGGGGTCTTTTTCTTTTGGAAAAGCTCGCTCCCCTGGGACAGAGCTTCCAGCTGCTCACCAGTCTCTACACCACTAGCCTGCCTCACCCTCAGTCACCATCTAGCTGTGCCACAAGTGACAGTCTACAGGTTCCTGGCCTATTGCTTATCAGTTTCTTGAAAGCCATCATCATTCCTCTGACAGGTCTGAATCTTTGAGAGATCTTTTAGTGAATCTGAACCCAAGGGCCACAGAGGAATTGGGGAACTGAGCCAAAGATGGAGCTGTTAGTGTTAGAAATGATGGATGCATACAGTTGGTTTTTTGGCATTTGAGACTGTATTGACCTGAGACTTCTCATAATTAGTCTGATATTAATCTTAGCAGGGTGAATTATGAAAACAGCTCCCAAGATATCTGTACCCCAAAGTAATAAGACCCCCAGAAGTAGGGTGATTTGTACCTATCTGGAGCATAGCTCTAAGTGAGGGCATCTCTTTTATTTAGGAATGTGCTTCCAAGACCACCTAGAATATGTTACATAATCAACTTAAAAGCCACCATAGATAAATATGTAAAATAACTTACTTTGAAGGACTTATATCGTTCATCATTTAAAACAGCTTTAACTTCAGAACTTTCTCCATCTTCAATGATTTCCTGCATTGGTAGTTAAAGAATAATTTAGATTATGTAAGATAGACAGTCTGAAACTCCCAAATTCTGGTACTTTTATTTTTTTCCCCCCACAGAATGGACTCCCCTTTCCCCCCACTGAAAACATGTTTTTCTAGCTGATCTGATTCCCTCTGAAAATCCAAGCTCATCATGTAACTAAGAACTCCTTTATAATGTTCAAGGTCAAAGATACCTGTAGGGAAAAAAAAAAAGATACCTGTAGGAATAAAGTCCAAATATATGGAATACTGAGCCAAAATTATCATTGAAAGATATAAGCCCAAATATTTGCTATCACTTTAATTTTGATGAATATGGGCTTGCTGAAATAAGCAAGTTTTGCATCAACTAGAAAGCCAATCCAAATTCAAGCTCTTATAATGTCTATCTCAGAGTGATCCTTTTCGGAGTTTTTTTTCTTCTAATGATTCACATTTTACTTGACTATGTACAAATTTATATAGAGATAAATCAGCTGGCCCAGTGGGCAGAAAGCGATGCTACCAAGCCAAAGGTGGGTGACTTTTAATCCGCGGCCCTTGGGCCTGTCTTTCATTGCTTTTGTTCAGACATTCCTCTAGGTTGTATAGCCCTGGTGTACAAGTTGCCATACAGTGGTCACTTGTGGTTGCTGTGAGGCTGAACACTGTGACACTGATGTGTCAAATGCGTTAATGGTTGGTTACCCAATGCGGACAGAGAGTGGGGTGGAGTTCCCTGATTAAAACATGCTTGGAAGGAGGAGTGGCATCCACTTCCGTCATAGCTTGCCTCCAGAAACCCTGTGAACCTGGAGAGAGGATGAAAGGCACCCAAGCATCGAGGACTCTCCTTCATAGGGTTGCTATGAGTGGCCTGTGACTCAGCGGCTCTTAACAACAACATGTACAAATTTACTTTCAGATATGCCTTGCTGAAGGATCTTTAAATGGCATTAACAAATAAGCACCCTGTCACATATCTCTCTCTGGGGCATATATGGGTTGTTGTTGTCACTTTTATATGCTGTTGAGTCAACTAGGACTCGTAGCTGACCTATCAACAGCAGAACTAAACCTTGTCCTGTCCTGCACTGATCTAATAACCTCTACTATGCTTGGTTCCATTGTTATAGTCATCGTCAATCCATCTCCTCGAAGGTCTTCCTCTCCTTCGCTGCCCCTCCATCTTCCCAAGCCTGATGTCTTTTTCCAAGGACTGGGCCCTCCTGAGAACATGCCAAGCTTCATCATTTTTGCCTCTTGTGGTGTTGGTTAAGAGTACTGAATACCCATGGATAGAAACAATGACAAATACACATCAGTCTTGGAGGAAGTACCACTAGGGTGATGTTAAGAGATGGAGCAAAGTCAGCTCCATTCTCTCTATTTCTATATATAGACAAGGATTCTGAAGCTTCATCTGACATACTTTGGACATGTTGCAAGGAGGGACCAGTTCTTGGAGAGGGACGTCATGCTTGGGAGAGTTGGAGGACAGCACAAGAGAGGAAGACCCTCGATGAGATGGATTGATTCAGTGATTGGGAATATAGAGGTAGGTGTGTCAGAGACAATGAGATTAACACAGGATAGGTTTAGGGCTGTCATACATATGGTCACTATGAGTCACAGGCAACTCAATGGCACATAACAATGACAACAACATCTATATATCATCTATATCTATTTGGTACTATTCTATAAGGTAAGGATCTTGAGTGGTAAGGACTTAACTTAGTGGTAAGGAGTTGCACTGCCAGTCCAAAGGCATGTGGTTCGAATCCACCAGCTGCTCGATGGGAGAAAGATGGACAGTCTCTTTCTGTGAGATTTGTCTACTTGTGCTGAAGTAATTATTGTATTAAGGAAAACCCACTGGAGTGTCAGCTATAAATTGGTTCTGACTTGATGGCATATTAACAACATTCTAGGGGGTGACATCCTCTGAGTGGACCTGGAGTTCTATCACAGACAGTGTGTGAAGTCAGACTGCTGATGAGATTTTTAGGTCACTTCTGTTTTTCATCATGATTCAGCAATAATGTGGGAGAATTCTTTTTCCATTAGCTGACCCCATATACTCTAGCTGTGATCATGTCGGGGTATAATTAAAAAACTCACTGCCGTTGAGTTAGAACTGACTCATAGTTGACCCTCCGTTGGGTTTCCAAGGCTGTAAATTGAATAGGAGGAGACTGACCGAGGAGTAACTGGTGGATTTAAACTAGCAAAGAGACATGGGTTTTGAGTTAATAGTGGACTAAACGACCAGAACTCCCTAGTAGAGTTATTGAGCGCCATTGAGTCAAAGAGGACTCATAGCAACCCTGAATGTAACAGAAGCTTTCCCACCCTGTCCCATCCTCATGAGCTCTGTCATACTCTACTTGTGACAGTCCATCTGGTGGACTGTCTTCCTCTCTTTTGCTGACCCTCTTCCTTTGTCCAGAGTTCTGTTAGCCTCCGAGGACTGATTCCTCTTGAAGTGAGACAATGTTTCACCATCCTCACCTCTAAAGAGCACTCCTGTTATACTTCTTTCAAGATAGATTTGTTTGGTTTTTTTGGCAATCCATGGTATAGTCAGTACTCTTCCCCAGCACCACAGTTCAAAGGCATTGATTTTTCTTCTGTCACTCTTCTTCATTGACCAACTTTCAGATGCAAAGGAAACAATTGAAAAAGCCATGGGTCCAGTACACTATAGTCTTTAAACTGATAACCTTGCCCTTCGACCCATCCAAACACTCTGGTGGTGTCCTTGAGAGCAGATATCCCCAGTGCAACGTGTCTTCTGATTTCTTGACTGTTGCTATCTTGAGTATTGATTGTGGATCCAAATAAAATGAAATTATTGACAATGTCAACATTTTCTTCTCTATCATGATGTTGCTATTAGTCCAGTGGTGACAATTTTTGTTTCCTTGATGTTGAGATGTAACCCATATTGAAAGTTGTGGTCTTCAATCTTCTGTAACAAGTTTTTAAAATCTTCTTCACTTACTGCAAGCAAGATTGTGTGACCTGTATTATGCAGGTCATTGGTGCATCTTCCTGCAATCCTGATGCTATATTCTTCTTCATGTACTCCAGCTTTTCAAATTATTTCCTCAGTATATGGTTTGAATAGTTATAAAGAAAGAATCTCACCCTAACACACATCTTTCCTGATTTTAAGTCATGCAGTACTCTCTTTGTTCTATTCAGACATCTGCTTCTTGGTCTATGTGTAGATTTCACATAAGCGTAATTAAATGCTCTGGAATTCCCATTTTTAATGTTAGCCATAATGTGTTATAATCCACACAGTCATATGCCTTTGCATAGTCAATAAAACACAAGTAAACATCTTTCTGGTATTCTTTCCTTTCAGCCAGAATTCACCTCATATCAAGAGTGATATTCCTTGTGTCACGGCCCCTTCTGAATCCATCTTGAATTTCTGGCAATTACCTATGTATATAATATTAACAATAGTGTTTTATAATTTCGACAGCAGTTGGATCACCTTTTCAAAGGGATGAAACAAACATAGCTCTCTTTCGGTCAGGTGGCCAGGCAGCTGTCTTTCAAATTCGGTGTCAGAGACTGGTGAGCATGTCCAGGGGCTCCTTCTATTTCCTGAAACATTTCAATTGGTATTTCATCAGTTCTTGGGGACTTATTTCATGCCAATGCCTTCAGTGCAGCATGAACATCTTCCTTCAGGATTACTGATTCTTGATCATACGTTACTTCACGAAATGGTTCAGTGTTGACTAATTCTTTTTGGTAAAGTGACTATGTGTATTCCTTTTCTCTTCTTTTGATGCTTCCTGAATGACTCAAGATTTTGCCTTGTAGTATCCTTCAGTATTGCAACTCAAGGCTTGAATTTGTCCTTCAGTTCTTTCAGCTTGAGAATTGCCATGCTTGGTCTTCCTTTTTGTTTTTCTAAAGCCAGCTCCTTGCACATTTCACTATAACACTTTGTCTTCTTGAGCTGCCTTTTAACATCGCTGTTAAGCTCCTTTACCTCAGCATTCTTTCCCCTTGTTTTGGCTTCCTTTCATTTCAAGGCAAATTTTAGGGTCTCTTCTAATATCCATTTTGGTCTTTTCTTTCTTCTTTCCTGTATTTGTAATACACTTTTGCTTTCTTCTTGGATGATGCCCACGATGTCGTTCCACAAATTGTCTGGTCTTCTGTCATTAGTGTTCAATTATGGTTTTTAAAATCAACTGGAATATACTCCAGCCGGTATTTTGGTTCTTGTGGACTTGCTTTCATTTTCTTGAGCTTCAGTTTGAACATGGATATGAGTAGTTGATCTGTTTTACAGTCAGCACCTGGCCTGGTTCTGACTGCTGATTCTGAGCTTCTTCAATGTTTCTTTCTGCATAAATAGTACATCAGATGAAGTCAATGTATATAGTTTGCTGTTGAGGTGTGTGTGGTTTTTTTAAAAGGAATTTGCTGAATAAATAATTCATTACACAAAAACTCTGTCATGCAATCTCCAGCTTCATTTTTATCACCAAGAGCTTATTTTCCAACTACCAGGCCTTCTTTGTTTCCAACTTTTGCATGCTAGTCACCAATTATTATTAATGCATCTTGATTAAATATTCAATCAATTGCAAAGGCTTGTTGGTAGAAATGTTTAACTTCTCCATCTTTGGAGAAAGCATGAAAATATGGAAGCATGGTTGGTGTATATATTTGAATAATGATTATATTAACAGGACTTCCTTATGTGCTATGGACAGTAAACTGTTTCTCACAGCATTGTACTTCAGGGTAGATCTTGAAATGTTCTTTTGACCATGAATTCAACACCACTGCTCTATAATTCGTCATTTCCAGCATAGAAGATTAAGTAGTCGTCTGATTCAAAATTACTAGTACCTGTCCATCTCAGCTCACTGACATCTAGGATGTTGACCTTTATGCATTCTAACTCATTTTTTACAACTTCCAATTTTCCTAGAGTCCTGGTTAGTATATTCTGTGTTCCAATTATTATTGGATGTTTGTTTGCATCTGTTCCTCCTCATTTTAAATCTTGGTGCATCAGCAAACGAAGATCCTTCATTGGGTTGAGAGCTTTACTCCATCTGTGTCATTGTGGTAGACTCTGCTTTGAGGAGGCAGCTCTTTTCCAGTTTCCTTCTGAGTGTCTTCCAGTCTGAGGGGCTCCTCTTCTGGCATGATATCTAGCAATGTTTTTCCATTATCCAGAGCTATTTCAGAAGTGGATGGCCATCCCTGTTTCCTAACCTGTCTTAGTTTGCAAGCTCCATTAAAACTTGTTCATCTTGGGTGACTCTATTGGTATTTGAATTTCTGATAGTATAGCTTCTAATGTCACAGCAAGACATGAGCTACCACAGTATAGCGAACCGACATACAAGTGGTGCAGCTCTCTATTAGAGTATATGTGCATTCACTCCTATCTATCTATCTAATATATATAGATTGTGAAAAGAAACCACATCTATATAGTTGACTAGGAAAAAAAAATATCTATCAGATGAGTATCTTATTCTTTCCCAGTATCAGTTTTAGCCTACAAAATCATAGTAGGAGATGGGACAAATTACATTTCACTCTTACCTCTATGACACATTTCACTTTGTCCGCCAGGCAGGGAATTCCTTCTGTGTCCTTCATACTGATGATTGAAAATGGAAGAGATTTCAGTACTGATGCTGCTCTCATATATGTCACATAAGATCCTTCATTTTCTCTAAACTCACAATTTTCAGCCAGTATCTCAAAGGCATCCTGAGGAATAAATTCAAGTGAGAAAACATGGTATATTTTTTTTAGTCCCAGAGCCAGGAGTCACTCACACAGGCCTTCTTACTCTCCTGTAAGTATTTGTGGCTCCTGACTGTGTCCTTAAATGTCAGGATCAAGTTTCACATGATTTTGTGCCTGGAGCAAAAGGCCCGTTAGTTAATGTTTGTTAGTTCAAGGGAAGTGGAATTCAAAACACTGGCACCAGGGTTAGAATTTGTTGTAATTTAAGAAGAAAGTCAGGTGGCACAATGGCTAATCAATCTGTTTTAACCTAAAGGTCAATAATTCAAATCCATTAGCCTCTTCAAAGGAGAGAAGATTTGGATATCTGTTCCCACACAGATTACAATCTAGGAAACCATATAGGGCGATTTTTCTCTGTCACATTTGGTCACCACAAGTCAGAATCATTGGGAAGCATACAATGACAACATACACTGAAGAATTTTAGAGTTAGACACAATAATAGCCCATCACATACTTAATCCTACATTACCGATAAGACCAGACAGCCTACATAACCAGACAACAAAACAAACAGATACGTGTAAGTGAAAGGGAATATACTTATGATTATGTATAGTCTAACAGATGATATTTCAACATGAGTATTTATAGGTGTTAAAAACATATCCATATACTTAGTAGAACTAACAGGAAGCAAAATTATGTAAACTTCTTATCCATAGCCAAACACCATGAGGGAATTAGTCACTGGTCATGGGGCCTCAAGACCATAGTCTTGGGAGATATCAAGTATGACATAGTCCACGAAGATAATAGTCAACACAACACATTACATTGGTGAGTAGCAATGGGGAACTTAAAGGCTTTCAAGGAGCCATCTAAGTGACAACTGTTGATTTCTCTATGACTAGAGCAAAAAAGCGGGGGTGGGGGGGAATCAAAGACATATGGAAACAAGTAATCTGTAGCACTAATTGTTGTTGTTGTTCTTAGGTGCCATCAAGTTGTGTATGAGACATAGTGACCCCGTGAACAACAGATCTGAACCCTGTCCTATCCTGTACCATCCATCCTCATCATTTCTTTCATACTTGAGCCCATTGCTGCAGTCACTGTGTCAATCCATTTGGTTGAGGGTCTTTCTCTTTTTCAACAATCCTTCATCCTTCCCTGCATGATATCTCTTTCCAAGGACTAGCCTCTCCTAACAACATGCTCAAAGTATGTGAGATGAAGTTTTATCTCTTTGCCTCCAAGAAGCACTCTGGCTGCACTTCCTCAAAGACATCTCTGTTTATTCTTTTAGTTGTCTGTGGAATAGTCTATACTTTTCCAAAGCCACAGCACAAAGGCCTAAATTACTCTTCTGTAATCTTTACTCATTGTCCAGCTTTCAGATGCATAGCAAATGATTAAAGACCATGGCCTGAAGCAGGCACATCTTAGTCTCAAGCTGACATCATTGCTCTTCAGTAATCTGGAGAAGTCCCTGTCTGCAGACGGTCCCAGTGCAATCTGTCTCCTGATCTCCTGACTGCTGATACCAATGTTGATTGTGGATCCAAGTCAGATGAAATCAGTGACAGTTTCAATATTTTCTCCATTTATCATGATGTTGCCTATTGGTCCAGCCAGAATGGAAATGATGAGAAAGTTGACATGGTATGAAAAAGGTCTCCAATAGGGTAGAACAACATTCGTTCTTAAAAGATGTTAAATAAGAACCTAATTAGTTAGAGACTTTGACTAAGACACAATGAAATGTCATAATAAAAATGTTAAAAAGTAATACAATGTGAATATATTTCTCCATTTTCATGAAAGTAGGAAACCTATTTTTGACAGTGAAAAGAACCAGAGATCAGGATAGGTGGGTAGGTGAGTTGTTTATTGTTGTTGTCAGATGTCATCGAGTGAGTATAATCAGGTGACCTGAACCCTACCCTATCATCATCTTTTCTAACACACTAAAGCCCATTGTTATAGTCACTATTAATCCATCTTCTTGGAGGTCTTCCCACTGAATATCTTAGAAAGGGTGGAGCCAGAGTGCTTGTTGGAGGCAAAGATGATGAAGCTTTACCTTTCATACTTTGATTCATTAAAAAAGGACATCATATTGGAAAGAAGGAGGGTGGGTGAGTAGACATGAGGGGATACTTTCTCAAACTTCCAGACTATTTCATAATTTAATTTGTAGATAAATGGAAACAAGCTGCAAGCCATTCACTTTGTGTGATGCTGCAAAGCCCAATTACCGTGAATATGTGGTTATGGTTGTTTAATGTGGTTCTTCTTTGACATGCGTATTGGGAGATCTTTTGTACAGCAGCTGATTCTGTTTTCTGGGGACTTGAGTCATGGCTGGCTGGACAGTCTCCTCTCACCTAAAGAAATGCACAAGCACCCATTTTAAATGACATTACTAATAATAATAGATATGAATGAAGAAAAATACTGGAGACAATTTTTTGGTGATTGTCTTGGGGGAAAACACAAAACAAAACTCAAACTCATTGTTGATAAGTCAGGACTGACTGAAAGCTGATCTTAAATCAGAGGCAGTAAATTGCACAGGAGGAAACTGCCCTTCTTTCTCCCTTGGAACAGCTGGTGGATTCAAACCACCTGTATTTGGGTTAGCAGAGCGACTTCCTACTCATTTGGTCACTAGAGCTCCCTTGTCCTGAGAAGAAAGTTAAAATTAGGGGCATAACAAATGTCAACTATAAGTTGGTTCAAATTCTATGGTATACAACAGTGGAAATAACAATGTGTGAATTATCTAATTGACATGTATTATTTGTGCAATCAGAAATAATAACAGGAAAAAGAACCATCAATTAATATATCAGTTTACTTTTCTATGAATTTATATCGTTATGGTCTGAATTGCCCTCCTGAAGTTCTGGTACTGTTGGTCAAGGATTTAGAATAAAAGGATTAATTTTCTGCCCCCCCACCCTCTGAATTATCATAAGAAAAATAAATAAGAACTCTCTTCTTTTCCTGCTGTAGTACATCAATATTTGGATATTTTTATCTATGTGTAAGTGTATTCATAACAATAAAATTATTCGGTGTCTTCTAGATGCCATGCTTTCCAAGTGTGTCATTCTAATCTTCAGAGCCCTCATGTGTGATAGACACTATGTTTATCTCATAAACATGAAAAAAACTGAAGCTCAGAAAAGCTAAGTGACTTGCCTGAGTTCACACTGAGACTAAGAAGAGAATTTGGGGTTGAACCAAGCTCTGTGCAATTCTAGGAGTCCTTTGTCCTTGTTGTTGTGTGCCATAGAGTTAGAACCAACTCATAGCTGACCCTCCAGCAGGTATTCAGAGGCAGTAAATTGCCCAGGAGGATATTGCCCTTCCTTCTCATACAGCAGCTGGTAGGCTTAACCACGTGCCTTTGGGATTGTAGCACAGCTTCTTATCACTAGGCTACCAGAGCTCCCAAGGAGTCAGGGCATCAGTCAGGGCAAATAGTGCATTTAGTTGCTAACCAAGAGGTTGGAAGGTTGAGTTCACCCACAGGCTCCTTGGGGGGGAAAAATCCTGGCAATTTAATTCCAAAATAGCCAATCATTTATAAGCTTATGGAGCACAATTCTAGCCTGGCACATATGGGGTCCCCATAGGCCAAAACTGACTTCATGACAACTGTATTTACTGTTATGATTCTAAAGCCAGTCTTCTTAACTACCAAGCAAAGGGTAATTACGATCACAACCATGATACTTACAAGCTGGTGTTTTCCTGTAATTTCCACCAGTTTTCCTGCTCCCATGCATTCTATCAGCCAGGAGACATCGAGGAGTTCCAACTGTGAGCTGGCTTTTATTTTCTGTACCTGAAGCCACTCCAGAACATCTGAACCGGAGTTGTTCTCTGCCACAATGTGGGTGACAGAATCACTGCAAAGCATAAGACAAAGTTGCCAGCTGAAAGCTTTCCAAACTCAGAAGCAGCTCCTTTCCCTTCGAGGGGCTTTAGAATGGCATTCTATTAAATGCAGAAAGATACACATTAGACTTTCACCTATACTTAATGAATTTAGTCCTCTATTTAAAGGCAGTTGTGCCCTCAGGTCAGTGATGACTCATAGTCGACCCTCCAGTGAGTTTTCAGAGGCTGCACATAGCATGAGAAGAGATTGCTCATCTTTCTCCCACAGAGCAGCTGGTGGATTTGAACTGACTGCCTTTGGATTAGCAGGAACTTCTTACTAAGCCACTAGAACGCCTCCATTCAGTGTCTTCTCTTTCTTGTGATTAGTTCAGAGCAGTGGCCTTTGTTCCATGTCAGATGTAAAAATAGTTGAGGAAACATTAACAAGACTTCAGCGTGAGACCAAGTTCCAGAGAATGTGAAAGTTGAAGTTGCTTTAAAGTAGTATCTCAGGAGTGCAAATGGTAAATGCACTTGGTTGCTAACCAAAACATTGGGAGTTCAAGTCCACCCAGTTGTGCCTGGGAAAAATAGCCTACTTTCAAATCTGCTTTCAAAAAGTCAGCTGTTGAAAACCCTGTGAAGCACAATTCTACTCAAGACACACTGAGTTCCCATGAGTCAGTCAGTTTGATGACAACCAGTCCTGGTTTATGATTTAACTTCCTACATGTAGTTTTCATGTGAATTTTTCTTTGTTTGTTTGTTTTTCTTTTGGATGTTTTATTTTGTTTTTGGTAGAGGGCTTAGTCCAGTGTCTTTTAAACCTGCTTAACTATGATTCACAGAAATCTAATTTATATCATAATACAAAATACAAATAGTTTTGTTTGTAGCATTTCATGAACTTGATCTGTGACCAGGTTTGGTGAAATACTGCTTTACGTTCAGTTTGGAGTGCAACCTTCTGATATACATACGATAGGATCTTTTAACAATTAGTGAACACTGAACAGTGTTTCAGGCGTCATCGTAATACTTTACACACATCATCTCAACTGACACTCGCATAACTCTTCAAGTATGATACTGTTCATACTACAGAAGTGGGAAAACAGTAAATGTTATTGACATCTTAAAGGCTGCACAGCTAGTGAATCATGCTCTTTTGAAGATCATTTCTAGGTCAAATATGCTGCCTGCAGTTTTGGTTTTTGTTTAGTTTTACTTTTTTTGTTTTTGTTTTTTTAAATTTTATTTTATACTGATTTATGTACAAAGTTCAAATACATTGTTTTTCATATCAGATCTTTCCCATATCCTTCACCACCCCATTCATCAAATTGTGTGACCCTATGATTAACACCCTACCCCTACCCCAGCCATATCAGCTTCATATTGTCTTAATTTCTAATAGGAGGAAACTACAATCAGAGAGGTAAATGAACAAACCACATCAGCTAGAAGTTAACCTGGGTGGAAATGCAGCCTAAAAGTTGTGACATCTCTTCTAGAGCTCTTTTCATCTATGCTATACAGTCTCACCTGAATTGTTCCATTTAGTGGTTCTTTAAATTACTTAATATGGCCCTTCAAGTGGGCCTGTGCAAATAAGGTATGAAATGCTTGGTCAATTTTGCCATCCCACCGGGCTTAAAAGAAGCCATTCCAGAGGTAGAACAGGGGGATCTTTACCATCATCAAAGAAGAGCCATGAGTGAAATGCATTCTTTGGACTGGAGATCCCTGAATGGAAATCTCCTTGATCTAGGAGACCAAAATAATAGGAAATAGGAAGATAGCAAAGTGATGAACAAAGAAATTGTGGCAGCAGAGGCAACAGAACCAATCTATTAATATGAGACAGAGGTGTGGGCTCCCTGACTCATGGAGTTAGAACGTTGACTGTTCTTTGAAGAAGATGCTTGTTAATGGAGTGGGCACCTTTGGGCATTTGTCAGGAAGCTGGATTTGCCAATCTGTGGAGCTAGAGCCAAATGCCTTTGGACAAGAAGCCTACTGGCAGAGTAGGGTGCTGTTGGGCACTTATATTGGCAGAGCTAAAAGAGTTTCATCATGGCAAAGATCAAAGTTAAGGGCCCAAGAGAGGCCTGCCTTTGGGTACTACTGAGGAAAGAATCTGTTCTAATTGAAGAGCTGTATCCTGAGTCATTCCTGATCCTGAATTGTAACCTATTATTTCCCTAATGAACTCATAAACATGAGTATGATCTGTGAGAACTGTGTAGCCGTTGCAATGAATTCTCAAATCCAAAAGAGTAGAGAATGCTGTGAGAGGATGGATGTTTGGTGTCAGAATTGGTAAAATGATTGGACAGTGGTAGCCTGGTTGGAGGTCTGACCCCATGATATCAGTGCTGGGCTGCTGGTGATGGTAATTCTTCCCCTCTACCACTCACCATGCAGTTAAAAAAGAGATCCTGCTGCTTTTACCGCTAATCCATTTTCACCCGTGTGAATTGCGGGAGAACATTTAGCACAAAATGGAAAGACAGACTCGCTGCTCCAGCTTCAGGAGATAGTGATCAACTAATCATTGATTTTGAAGTATTCAGGGGATCATGTGTTGGTCTAAGGGTGTGAAGACAGCACATGTAGACAGTGTGCGGCTATCTGAGCAGATGGAGTCGGGCAATGAAGTGATGCAGGTGCCAGTAGTGAGGCAGAGGAAACCACTTTAGACTACCCGGTGTCTCTCAGAAACAGTGGGGCCTTACTGAGTGGTTAATTCAGAGAGGTCTTCCTAGTGGAGGACCCTATCCAGCGGAGCATCATGGAGGAGTGACATGTTTTTTCTCTAAAAAAAATAAGAGATTAGACCCAGTGATTTTTTTTTTTTAAGGCCCTTTCAGTTTGAAGCATCTATAAGCCTGGGAAACAATAGCAAGAGCAAACAGCACACCCACACATCCAAAAGGAAAAAAAAAAAAGTATTTTCTCTTCCTCTTCCTTGACTTCCTCTTTCTCCTTCTCCTTTTTCTGATCTGACTGGCTTCCACCCCCTACCCCCTTTCTGTTTATTTCTTGCATGTTTGGTCTATTTTTTCAATAGGTTCCTTCCTTGGTGGTGGTGATGGTGGTGGTGGTAGTGAGATACCAAGGAAGGCAAAGGAGGGTTTGGGCATTGATATTTTACATGAAATAAATAGTTAGTGGAATGGTGTGAGCTATATCAAGACACGGTTCATAATCAACATATGCAGATGGGAGGAAAAGAATAGACATGGGCTTGGAAAAGCAGAAGGCTCCCTGCTGGGATTTGCTGGTCCCAGTGGATAATGTCTTAGTTTCCTAGAATTGCCTAATAAATACCACAAAGTGAGTGGCTTTAAGGAACAGAAAAGTATTACCATTCTGGAGACTAGAAGTTGACATTCTGAGCATGGCAGGTTGCTCTCCTGAGTGAGTAAACAGCTGTGTTCTCTGTCGGTTCTAGGGAAATATCCTTCTTTGTCTCAGCTTCTGCAGCTCCATGCATTTCTTGGCGTTCCTTGGATTACAGGTGGATCATCGCATGGTGTCTTAACCCCGTGTGGCTCTATTTCCATGCTTATTCTCCTCTTTATAGGATATCAATCATATAGAATTAGGACTGATAACTAGAAACATCTGCAAAAGAAAAATCCCATTTCCCTAAACAAGGTCACTAACATTCATCAGTGCAAAGGTTGGGATTTCCACATATCTTTTTGGAGGATATAATTCGATCCATAGTAGTTGGGTATTTGGAAGGCAGAACTCAGGGTCCTGCTGGAAAAAAAGAAATCTAACAGACTGAAAGAAGGTAGCATATATAGAGGGTAGGAGGGAAATAACTTGGCTTGAAGATTCTATGGTGTAAAGTCATTAACGCTCCCGGTCAGTGGAAGAAGTTAAGTTGGTCAGTACAATAATATTATAGGTTTCTGAAGTCTGGTTTAGGAGGTTAGATTTTATTTTCTGGATATTGGGAAGACAGTGAAGGCTCTTGGGACCAGGACAGTGATCACACTGAAGTGTCATTTTAAAAGACTAATCTGGGGCAGATGATTTGGAAGAAGGAGGTGTGCAGACAGATAAAATAATAGTCTAAGTACGAGGAGATTTTACTCCAGTCTTGTTCCTGTGTTAGAATAAAAGCAGAGAAGAAATAAGATGGACATTTGGCATTAATTATTTCACTAATAAGGAATGAAATGGAGCACAGAGTAAAACTTCACTCCAGCGTATCTATTACTGCTTTTGGTAGTAACAGGGATTTAGGATACTTGATTTGAGGCCACCTGGAGGACAAGCCAGCAGAGTGAGCAACACACGCAAGTAGAAAGTAGTCCTGCTGAAACATTTTGCAAAGGTTAAGGGAAGATAGGTAACCTCTTTCCCAGCAAATCTACCCAATAGCTTCATCAGGGAAAGACCTGGCCTTCTACTTTTATAAACATTACAGCCAAGAAAATCCCGTGGAGCAGTTCCCCTCTGTGACATATGGGTTTCCACAAGTCAGAATTGACTCAAATTCAAGGAGCTTATTCCAGACCTATATAATTTGAAAAACTAGTTATAATAAACTTCCTGAAAGGTTCTTCATGGCAAGACTATATAAGAAAAAAAACCATAAATAGTCTTAAATAGAATTTGTGATTTATCTAATTTCTTCCTTTTCAAAGTAAATGGTTTTATTATTTATTGTAATTATACTTATTATTTTAGTAGTAGTCTACCTAAACCTCAGAGAGTGTGCTGAAGTGACTCAACTTCAAATTCTGTCCTTTCACCATTGACTTTCTTAAACACCACCACCATCTATCTCTTCACCTTGGAGACCCCTGGGCTCTGTGGTGGGAGTCCAGAGCTCACACCATTGGGCCAGAGCTGCACGCATTTCTTACACAATTAATACAAGTATATTGATGAATTATAGGCTATAAATCATATGATGGATAGCTAATTTAAACCTTCAGTTTTTCCTCATTAAGCAATTTAGCAAACAAGCCAAACCCCAAATCCAGCATATACAAAAACAATA